GGCTATGCAAGAAGAATTAAATCAATTTGAGATAAGTAAAGTATGGACATTAGTTGAAAGGCCTAGTAATAAATCTACTGTAGGTACTAGATGAGTATTTAGGAATAAGCTTGATGAGAGTGGTAATATATTGAGAAACAAGGCTAGACTTGTTGCTCAAGGGTATACTCAAGAAGAGGGCATAGACTATGATGAAACATATGTTCCCGTAGCTAGGATGGAAGCAATTAGAATGTTATTAGCATTTGCATGTTTTCATGAATTTAAATTATATCAAATGGATGTTAAAAGTGCATTTTTAAATGGTTTTATAAAAGAAGAAGTGTATGTGGAACAACCTCCAGGTTTTGAAGATTCAAAATTTCCAGATCATGTTCTTAAATTGACAAAAACTCTTTATGGTTTAAAACAAGCTCTTAGAGCTTGGTATGAAAGATTGTCAAATTTTTTAATTGAAAAAGGTTTTTCAAAAGGAAAGGTTGACACTACATTGTTTTTAAAGCATAAAGGTAAAGATTTATTAGTAGTTCAAATTTATGTTGATGATATAATATTTGGTTCTACTAATGATGTTCTTTGCCAAGAATTTTCTAAGCTAATGCAAAGTGAGTTTGAGATGAGCATGATGGGGGAGCTCTCATTTTTCTTGGGACTCCAAATCAAGCAAAGAAAATATGGCATCTTCATTAATCAAGCTAAGTACGTCAAAGATATGCTCAAGAAGTTTGGACTGGAAAATGGGAAACCTCGTGACACTCCAATGAGCTCTTCAACAAAGCTTGACTTAGATGAAGGAGGTAAATGTGTAGATGTTAAATTATATAGGTCAATGATTGTCTCTTTGCTTTATCTAACTGCAAGTAGACCGGACATTATGTTTAGTGTTTTCTTATGTGCTAGATTTCAATCATGTCCTAAGGAATCACATTTACTAGCTGTTAAGAGAATCTTTAGATACCTTAAGGTCACTCCTAGTTTAGGACTTTGGTATCCTAGAGACTCTAGTTTTAGCTTGCATGCCTTCTCTGATGCGGATTATGTAGGATGTAAATTAGATAGGAAAAGCACCTCCGGTACTTGCCAATTCCTTGGAAATATGCTGATTTCTTGGTTTTCAAAGAAACAAAATTGTGTTGCATTATCTACCACTGAAGCGGAATATATTTCAGCCGGTAGTTGTTGTGCACAAGTTTTATGGATGAAACAACAACTTTTTGATTATGGAACTGAAATAGGTACTATTCCTATCAAGTGTGACAATACTAGTGTTATTTGTCTCACTAAAAATCCCATCCAACACTCTAGAACTAAACACATTGAAATTAGACATCACTTCATTAGAGACCATGTCACTAAGGAAGATATAGTTCTAGAATTTGTTGATACTTTGCATCAATTAGCGGATATTTTTACAAAACCCTTCGATAAGGAAAGGTTTTGGACACTTAGGAGAGAATTAGGTTTAACTGACCTATCTTCACTTAGTGTTTAAAATAATTCAGCACTTTTAATAAATACTGAAAAATGCTCATAATAGTAATTTTTGATTGAATTCATTGTTATTAGTTAGGGGGAGTTTATGATTCTTGATGAAAAATTAATTTTATGTTCAAATATCGATTAAAGATTAATTTAATTGTTTGAACATAATTATTTTTCAATATATGAGTTGCCTATACTACTAGAGAAGATTAATTTAGCATTTTGTGTGCTTAAAAATCAGATTTTAGCATTTTGGTGCAGAGGGAATCGATCCCCCCATGAGGGAACCGATTCCCCCTTTGAAGGGGAACCGATTCCCCCCACAGGGGAATCGATACCCCCCTGGGGTTCTGTTAAAATCGGGCAGAACACCCCAAAACCCCAAAACCCTCTTATTTTTCTTCTTGCCACCTTTCCCTCTCAACTCTTTCCCTATCTCCATTCTTGCCTCAAATCAACGATATTAATCGAAATTCGAATCAAATATCATCTTCTAAACCTGTTGGAATCATTAAAATCGTGCAAACAACATCTAAATCCCCTCAATCTTCATCTTTCAAGGTAAATTTTTCTAAACTCTCTATTTTATTGAATTTGAACATAGGATTAGTTTTAATTAGTTCTAGGTTGAAATAGTGATCGGGCATTGATTGTTTAGTGATTAGAAACTAGATGTTACAACTAATTTCATCAAAAACACAAGAATTTTCAAAAAAAAAAAATTAAAATTTTCGAAATTAAAAAAAAATTTGTTGTTTTTCAAATTATTGTTGTTTTGATTAAATTATGTTGTTGTTATGAAAACTATACATATATTGTTTCTCAAAATCGTATTTTTCAAAAGTTTCTCAAAAACTTTGCCCAATAGGATTGATTTAGAGAACTTTGCAATATTGAGGACTCAATTGAGTTTTGGGATTAATTGAATTGCATACATTTGTTTTTAAAATTGCAGGTTATCCAATCTATTCCGATTTCCTTTACCATGTCCAATCCTAAACGTGCTAGGTCTTCATCTAGTCGTTCTAGTCGTCAACCAAATTCACCTCCAAATCCTCCTCCTATTCCTCAAAATCCTATTCCAAATCTTGATCCTAACTTGACTATCCAAAATTCTTGTTTCAATCAACCGGGTCCTAAAGATTATCGTTTTTAGTTTTACCAATATTTTGACTCGTATAAGATTAGGGAAGAACGTATCCCATCTCTTCAAGCTATGGTTGCTATTAACTTTAAATATCTCCCTATCTTTCACGAATGGAAATTTGATAAACTTTTCGAACTTGAACCCGTTGTCTATCATCAACTTGTTCGTATCTTCTATTGTAATGTCGTTTGTATCAAAAATCGTGACAAAACCAAAACCATAGGAGTACGTTCCTACCTCCTAGGTCAATATTTCCATCTTGATCCGGCTTACATAGCCAATGCCTTAGGCTTGGATAATGAAGGTTTATCAAATGAAAAACAAGTTTTAGGCTCTCGATATAAACGAAATGATAGTGCAAGTGTTCTAGATCTTCATGAGCGTTTTTTCATCTCATGATCACTTGGTGGTTTCGACCATCCGGGGGTCGTTATTCTACTTTCAGAGCTTTAGATCTTTGGTGGTTGCATTGTTTTGAACACAATATAAAAATAAACCTTTCCGAGATTATCTTTGCTGAGATTGTTGAAACTGTTAACCTAGTGCCAAATAAGAAACTCTGTTCTTCACTAGTTTACGGTTGTATCCTTAGTAATCTATTTTCTAAAGCCGAGCTTCGAGTTGGTCTAGATGCCTCCTTTCCTCTTAAGAAACAAATCAATCTTCTTTCTTTAACAAGAGCGGGATGGGTCAAAGATAAAGAAACCGGTGAATGGGTTCGATCTTCTGCAACTACTCCGGGAGCTAGTTCTTCACGAGCTCCACTCGAAGCTGACGAAGATCCAGAGTTTGAACAATTAATGAGGGATATCGATGAAGCCAAAGATGAGCCTGAGCAACCCGAGGAGCACGCACAACAATCGACTCAAATGCCTCCATATTTTCAATCCTTTATGGAGACATTTGATTTCCGATACGCGACTATGGATTCGCGCTTTACTTCTATAGAGTCCCATTTATCCACAATGGGAGCTCAACAATTAGAAATTCTTCGGGAAATGCGTGCAAATAATGAAGCAACCAACGCACGTATTAATGACCTCACTAACAAAATGGCCGTTATGCGAGCTCGTTTTCCTCCTCCTGATCCGGATATGTGATTAAATGTTTTACTTTGAACTCCAAACTTATTGTTTTAACATTTTGAATATTTTGGAATGTTTGAATTTGTGAATTGATTGATTGTGAATTTGTTTGGATTTATGGATGGGTATGAACTTATATGTTTTGTGTGATTTATTCATTATTGCATCATTTACTTCATGTTAGATATATGACCAATTTTGCCATATCACATTAAATATGAATATTGATTATGAAGCTAATGGCTAACGTTTCTCTTGATTGTGATCTTAGCAGCTTATGCATACATATACCTAATCAATTGGCTAAATGTTTTTCACGTTTCTTTGAATCTTTTTGATTTAACAAAAAGGGGGAGAAGTGTGTGTTTTAAAATAAGTGTGTTTTAAAATGATAAATGGGAGAAGTGTTAAAGTAAGGGGGAGTAATTTCAAAACTTGATTTCAAAATCTTAAAATTACTAAAATGTTTTGTTATATCAAAAAGGGGGAGATTGTTGAAAACATTTTGATATTTCGATATAACAAATTAAGTTAAATGAATTTTAAGATTTTCCAAATGATTTTCTAAGTATATTCGATATAATTATTCAAATATCAAAACATTACTCCAAATATTTCAAAAATCATGTTTAATCCTTACTTAAGTGTAAAATTAAGTTTTAATCTTAAAACAATTTCAAAATAATCTTTCAAAGTATTTCGAACCATTTCAAAGCCAAAAATTTCATATTGCTCAGAGGGAACCGATTCCCCCCCAAGGGGGTACCGATTCCTCCCTGAATGGTTTGGCTCCGAGATTTCCAGAATGCTCGGAGGGAACTGATTCCCCCATAGGGGGTACCGATTCCCCCCTGTTCAACGGTCGAAATATTTGAATTTTACACTTAGGGAACCGATTCCCTATGAGGGGGGAATCGATTCCCCCCACGCTCCAAGCTGTTTTATTAATTGTTTTCACACTAAAACGGCTATATGATCTTCACTAATCATCCCCAACGTTCATAAGTGATTCAAGGTGTATTTAAACAAGTTCTGAATCCCTTGATCGGCAAGAAATTATAGAGAAACAAGAGAGAAAGCATCAAACACCAAGTTTGTGCAAATCAAGCCAATTTTCCTTTCAATATTCATCTTGCTTTCAAAGAACACCATTTGTGCTCATTTGTAATTATTTGTGAGTGTTATTTTCTTGTTCTAGAATTGTGCAAACGTCTTACCTTGTGAGGTTTTCCTTGTAAGTTTGCAAATTTGTAATCTTCTCTTTGGGAAAGAGTGTTCTCAAGAATTGGGGTATATTCTTGAGGGTGTTGTAAGGTTATCTCTTTGGCCTCAAAAGAAAGAACAAATTAGTGAATTTGTTGGAAAATCCTTAGTGTGGATAGCTAAGGTAGTGGACGTAGACTTTGATTGAGAAAGTCGAACCACTCTAAATCGTTGTGCAATTACTTTCAATTTTCTGCAAAAGCTTCCACCAAATTTTTAATTACCAATTCACCCCCCTCTTGGCCAATTCCGTCAATCGATTAACTCAACAATTAGTTTGTTAGTTTAAGTTATATTATATTAATTTGTTAGTTTAAGTTATATATTATATTATAAAAAAAATTAGTTAATTAGTTTCTTAGTTTAAGTTATTAAATATAAAAAAAATATTAATTAATTTGTTAGTGTCTTTAAAAGTATATTAGGTTGTTCGTTGAAGTTGAAGTTATATTATAAAAAATATTAATTAGTTCTTAATTAGTTTATTATTTTAACTAAGTTATATTATAATAAAGAAATAGTTTATTAGTTTAAGTTATATTATAATATATTAGATTATATAAAATTAATTTGTGGGAGCTATTGTTGTTTAAATAAATATTTTGTTTACACATACATGACATTATTCCACAACATTTGCCCACATACAGATTGATTCGAAGAAAGAAACAAGGAAGGAAAAGAAAGGAAAGGAAGAATACATAAATACGTGAGTAATTTATTATTTTTTGTTGTCCATTTTTTGTTGTTTTGTATGTGTAAATTAGTTAGTTAGTAAGTTTATATTAGATTATATAAACTAATTTGTGCGAGATAATTTCCGTTTAAAAAAATATTGTGTTTAAAAATATTTAGTGTTGTTTTAAAAAAAATATTTTGTTTAATTTATATTGTATGTGTAAATTAGTAAGGAGTAAAAATTAATTGAATGAAATAATCCGGCCAACGCATTATCTCGCGAAATAATTCTTTCGAGAACATTATCTCGACAATTTTGCCTAACAAATTTGTTTGATATTTTTAAAAATTAAAAATATTATAAAACTAATCATTATTATTAGTAATAATTACTAAATGATTAGTATCAAATCTAAATCATTAAATATTTATAATAAATAATTATTAGTAATCATGACTAAATCATATTATTATTAAATCATTAAATATCAAATCATTAGATTAATAATAATTATTAAATCATTATTAGTAATATTAGTAATCAATCAAGTAAAATAAAAAAATTTATTTGATCATTAATATAATAGTATATTATATTATATTTAATGATTTATGAAATTATCTTATCTAATTTTTTAATCTAAATTAATTTATTTTTTTGTTTGTAGAGAAAATGAAGAACAACTTTTTCACGATTGTCCATTATAATGGACAGATTATGGAAAATGAGGTCGGAGTAGTTTTTCAGTCTGAAAAACCAATAAATATGATGTTAAAAAAAACATCACATTTATAGAAATGAAACATAAGATAGAAAGAAAAATTCGAGCTGCAGTTGATGGTTTGAGGTATAGGTTTATGATATGCCCCAACCTAGTCAGATATGTTGCAGTTCCACTTGAAGAAGATGATGTTATTGGAACAATGGTTGGATTACATGAGTCAACTAATATAGTAGTTATTGAGTTATTTGTTGATGTGCGTAACATATGTGATGTTCCTGGGTCATCAAGAGGTGTGGCTCAAAATCCATCTGAAATGGCTTTATATAGTCAGTTTGAGGAGTCGACATACAGGTTCCCGAACAGTTTTATGGCACTGTTGGAAAGTGTAAATGAAGTCGGGGGACATCTACAGCAGCAGAGTATGAGACGAGAAACATACCGGAATTGGTTGTTGATATTGTTGAAAACATTTTGATGTTTCGATATAACAAATTAAATTAAAAGAATTTTAATTTTGAAAATGATTTTCTAAGCATATTCGATATATTAAATCGAATATCAAAATATTACTCAAAGTATTTCAAAGTTCATTTTAAATCCTTAGTCAAGTGTAAAATTAAGTTTTAATCTTAAAATAATTTCAAAACGATTTTACAAAATATTTCGAACCATTTTAAAGCAAAAAATTCAAGTCTCAGCAGTGGAATTTGGTCAGCCATTGGAATGAATATGTAAAAAAAAATTAAACAACAATATTTAAAAAAAATCATTTAATATAATCTAATATAAACTAACTAACTAACTTACTAATTTACAACACAACAAAAAAAATTAATATAATAACTTATAATATAATAAACTTATAAAGTAAACTTTTTAAAATATAAGTTAAACGTAAACGCCAAACCATTAAACAACTAATAAAATATTCTTTTATATAACTAAAACTATTAAATTATTTTTTTATAATATACTACTAATATTACTAACTAATTTTTTATATAATATAAATTCAACAAACTAATATAACTTAACTAATTAACTAACACAAACTAATTAAATAATTTTTTTATATAACTAACGAATAATAAAACAAACTAATTAATTATTTTTAACTATATAACTATCAAACATACTAATTAAATAATTTTTATTTCTGTATAATATATTTAACTTAAACTAACAATCATATAACCCTAAACTAACAAACTAATTAACTAATTTTTGTTTTACCATAAACCCTAAACTAACAAACTAAAAATTTATAATAATAAACTAATTTAAATAATAAAAGTTTACCTCACAAGAGACTTATATCCCTTTCTTCTTCTTCCTTTCCTTTCTCCCTTTCTTTTTTTCTTTCTCGGCTGCACTAACTTCTCCCTTTCTTTGGCTGCAATCTCTTCTCCCTTTCTTTCTTTTATGTTCTCATGTTAACCACCTCTCATATATAACATAAACTGCCTCAATTATTTCACCAATAATTATACAATTCACGGGCTGAAATGGTTCCCATGCATACATCAATAATTGATGCATGAAGCAGCTGATTTCACGCTGCAATTGCAGCCCATATAGCTGCAGCGACATGCAGTGGGGAGCAGGAGGGGACGGCATGCAGCGGGGAGCAAGGTCGCTGGGTGTGCATGACGACCTACAAGGTCGCCCGGAGTGCATGGCGATCTATGGGTTGGCTTGCATGGCTCATGCAACGTCGTCGTCTATTCTCGGAAGCTGCCACGTCGTAGGTCACCCGGAAGACATGGCGATCTACGGCCAAACTGTGCATCACCCTATTTTAGCAATTAAACTTGGGAGTACATTATCACGTGAAATAAAAATTTCGAGAACATTATCACGTGGAAGCAGCCTATGGATTCTCTCATTCCTGATGACTGCAGAGAAAAGATCAGGAGACTGAAATCTAAAAAATCCCAACGTTCCCCACAAAGAAGCCTTCAGCATTGCTGCAAAAATTTTAAGTTTCAGACACCCAAAAGAATCAACAACAAGACCAAACTATCATTTCCTATATATCAGTATTTTACATATGTATAAACCGTGAAACATCATGCAGGGATTTGCTTTTAAGTGAAATACTAACGATTATTTGCATACCTATGAATTCTGATACGGTTATGCAATAATTAATTGTTGTCATTCACCGCTTCCAGTACTGTTTCTTCCTTTGAAAACTCGGTTTCCTTTGAATGTACCTACCTGGTAAATCGAAAACTAAAAGAACTTATACTTACCGATGTAATCAACACGAGATGTATGTATATACATGCATTCATATACATGTACATAATAGTTTAGGGTTGGGATCCTAGGGAATATCATATGCTTTAACACTTACCCATGAAAGGCCTGAAGGAAGAGACAGCATGAATATATGCTCGAAGAAGTCCGTGTTCTCCTTTTCAAGCTCTCTCCACACTGCAAAAGTATATTAACAATATTAAACATCGGAACCCCAAACCCGACTATCACCGGTAATTGTCGGCTTTTTTTAGTCACCTGTGATTGTAATGCACGGACGAATGCTTGCGTACTGTGCCAATGCCTTGACGCATTGATTTTGGTTCATGTGAAGAAGCAAGCATCTCTCTATCAGATGCTGAACCTGCAAATTTTCCCATGCAAAACCAGAAAGACACAGAGTACTACTGGTTAACTCCATGATTCTTGGAAAGAATAGCTGCAGTGCAAGTATCAGTATATTACCATCCTGATGTAGCTATGTGGGTGGCAATGAAGACAAGGAACAAGATGGTGGTGGTAGTCGTAGCCACAGTAAACCATATTTTCTCCGAACAGAATTGGACAAACACGAAGGGAAAATAGAACTGCAGACAAAGCTACAAAGGGAAGGAGAGAAAACTATTTGAAGGACCAAATGAGAGAGCGACTGTTATCCAGAGATAATCTGAGTGAAGGGCCAAAAGAGCACAAGATATCCAATCCATAGATTCACCTCATCTTGAGGAGATAAGAATATTGAATGCATTCCATCAGCCGAATCATGACCGATCGCTGCATGCATTTGTTGTTTTCTCCTTTGGTGAATGGTCCCTCTAATGAATGGTGACCATACGGGGTGAGGTGTTGGTTTTGTGTAGGAAACATGGTAAGCGGTATTTGAAGTGTTCCCTACCGAATCAATGCCATTAATGGTAAGCGGTTGGTTCTGGTTCAAACTTTTAATGACAAAATTGGCTTGCAAAATCAACAGGTGCACGAAAAAATAGCAGTAGCTAAGCTGCTACTGTTGTTGGATTTAAATAGAACAAAAAGCTTTCGTATCGCAGGTAAGCTTTTTTAGACTACTGTGTTCTCCATGCCTTCGATGATGTTTTCTTTAGATTTTTTTCTTTTTTAGGTCACCATTTTTTTTAAAAAAGGTTTTTTTCCTCTCTTCTATTTATGTTGGGAAATTCATCTAAATGTGAAATTGATCACAATCTTCTCCTTCTTTTAATTGATATCTCTGGCTCATCTTTTTTTTTCTCTGTTGATCTTAATATTCTCCTTTTTGTCTTTCCCAGCAATCTATTCCACGCCTTCCTTCTTACCCAGGCATTGCATCCGATCATCTTGTCTTTGAATATGTCACATAATTTCTTTGTAACTTGTAACCAAAGACACATAAGTTCACTGGTCTGATCATGTTTTCCCTTTGCACAGTAGAATCTACTTTTGGCACTTAATTTGAAGATTTTGATGGTTTAAGGAGCAAATCCATAGTTATGCAGGCATAGTGATTTCATTTCCTGGAGCCATTGTGCTATATTTACTGCTTCTAAAATCTACGAAAAGCTGACATACAATAGTATGGGATTTTCTTTATAACCTTCTGATTTTATGGTGGCAAAGTAATTGAAATAATATCTCGACATAATTTCGTGTTTAGTAACTTATGGATGAGTTTCATACTGTTCCCCATTAAAATTCTCATCAAAACCATCTCTTTCAGCAAACCATCTGTCAGATATAATAAGCTTTCTTATCCCTTGCTGCTCTGCCTTATAACTGCTTGTAAAAGTGGTGGCTTTGTTTTTTTATGACAACAGAAAGTATTTAAATTGATATTGTCGAGAACTTTTGTTATCAAATAATAGTGATAACTTAGTGGTCGACTTCTTTCCTGTTGGATGGTGGCAAGACAATGTATCAGGTACACATGTAGAGAAACTGAGATATCACATAAATTGGACGAGTGTCTCATTTTTTAGGCTTGAACTGCTAAATGTGTTTCAATTACCAAGACTGGACTCATTTGGCTGACTTTAGGACCTTTGATTGAAAATTTTCCTGGATCCAACAGTTATGCGGGCATGTTTGAAATTGCTAGAATCTCATTATTATCAACTTGATAATTTGGAACTTACTGTGCATTTTCTTTTTTTTGTTTTGTTGGGTGCAGGAAAGCATTCAGTTGTGGATACTCTTCTGAGAGATTTATAAATCAATAACAGTTTAGGTTTTAAAATAGAAAAATGTCCGGAGACAACAACGGTAATCTTGTACTTCCTATTTTACCGAATAAGAAGGTTGTTTATTTGTGTGCTTCCTATTTTATTGGATAAAAGGTTGTTTATTTGTATTTTAACTATATTTTCTGTTCTTGTGCAGGCAAATTTGCAATTTTGGATACTCTTCAGAGCTATATAAATCATAATATTTTGGGTTTTAGTATAGGAAAATGTTAGGCGGCAATGCCAGTAATCTTATGCTTCCCGTTTGCATGGATGAGAATTGTTGTGAGGTGTTGTAAGTGTGAGTTGTTAGTCAGTTAGTAAACCTAACTAAGTGAAGAGTTATTAGATAAGCTGTTAACCTAGCTACTGCTTGTTATAAATATTGTACTTGTTTACATTCTTGAATATATTGTTGAAGAATACTTTCTTGTTACTCAAACTCTATTGTTTCCAATATGGTATCAGAACAGTGGACATTGAATGCGGTATTGGCTCTTGCTGTTGCTAAGCAGTGGACATTGAGACAAGCTGATGTCAATAATGCCTTCTTGAATGGAGATTTAAATGAAGAGGTTTTCATGCAACAGCCACCGGGGTTTGAACAATGTGCCTCGGATGGAACGTAGCTGGTTTGCAAGCTTCAAAAAGCCTTGTATAGATTGCGACAGGCTCCCAGAAATTGGCATGACAAACTTAAGGACAGTCTGCTGCAGTTGGGATTTGTTAAGTCTCGAGCAGATGCTTCTCTTTTTGTGTAAAACAAGAATGGACATTTTACATACATATTGGTGTATGACGATGATATAATAATCATCGGGCAATCTACCGACGAGATTGATAAAGTGGTGAAGCTGTTGAATGACAAGTTTTCTCTCAAATATATTGGGGAGCTGTCTTTTTTCCTTGGCATTGAGGTTAAACGTGATGTTGGTGCCCTCTTCCTTAATCAAAGAAAATATGTTTTGGAATTATTGGAGAAGATGGGTATGCAGAATGTTACTCCAACTCCTACGCCTGTGGTAACAACGTCCAAGCTTGTTGAAGGTGCGGGGGAGTTGCTAGTTGATGCTCGGGAATATTGAAGTATCGTTGGAGCGTGTTTGTATGTAAGTCATACGAGGCATGGTTTCGTATTTAGCGTGAGTAAAGCTGCACAGTTCATGCATGCTCCTTCAAGTTAATTATGTTCCAGCTGATTGGCAGGTAGCTGATGGTTTGACCAAACCAATGTTAAAGCCTGCTTTCGAAAGGTTCAGGGACAAGGTGAATGTTGTGAGGTGTTGAGCCTAGGAGTCGGAGAAGTGGGGGGAATGTTGTGAGTTGTTAGTCAGTTAGTAAACCTAATTAACTGAAGAGTTGTTAGATAAGCTGTTAACCTAGCTACTCCTTGTTATAAATATTGTACTTGTTTACATTCTTGAATATATCGTTGAAGAATAATTTCTTGTTACTCAAATTCTATTGTTTCCAATAAGAATTATCTTTAGTATCGGACTAATGCATCAAATCAGCTGCAGTTATCTGGAAGCCGTAAGTTTTTTCTCTTTTTCATTTATAGCAATTGGCTTCTGTTTTAATTTCTTTCATTGTCTTTTGCTAGGAAAAACCACACAAATTCATCATTTATTTTTCTTTTTTAATGACAATTGAGCCATCTTTTGTTAAACTTTCAGCGCCTGCTGGGTGTACCATCGACGCGGTGAATTATTTTGGAAATGAGCATCTCAGCCACCCAATAAAAGAAGCCGGGAAACAGAAGTTATTCTAAGGCAGCAAAAGCTACAAATTTCCTTGAATTATAACATTTGTGAAGAGGAAGCTGACCGTTCCACTAGCATTCCAAATCCTCATGCTGTATCAACCGGCTTACGGCTATCATATGATGATGATGAGCGGAATTCATCTGTGACTTCTTCTAGTGGAAGCATGGCATAAGGAACATCAATGATCTTTTCACTCGGTCACAATGTTTTTTTTTTTTGGATAAATGCATATTATTTATCCGAGCAGTAGCAAAGGCTACCAAAACAGTACATCAATCCAAACACTCGGTCACAATTTTACAACTGAACTTGATCGTCAAAAAGAAGAATTTGATCAATATATCAAAATGCAGGTATGATTACTGTAGCGCCAGCCAAGTACAATAAAATGATACTTAAGGTAGTGCTTAATAACTCATTTATTTTGATGCATTTGCTTTTTTACTTGGCCCGTAGACACTTCATACTTTCTTTGTTTATTATGTAATGTGTTGGAGTTATCCCTAGGTTCTAGGCTCCTAAATTCCGTCCTGATAATGACAATACTATCTCATACTCAATAAAGTTCACATGCTCATGGTTCGTAATGCTGACATTGAGATGCCTAGTCAATTCATTGTGGTTACTTATATCCTCATTTAGTTATCACATTATTCTAACTATAAAAGTTAGTAGCAGGCTATCTAATTTGTATTGGTTTAAATGTGATGGTATCTGATGCTTTTTTTTTCTTTTTTTGAAACTTCAGATTTATTTTTCGTAATCCGCAAGAGCACTTGACAAAGGGAGTAAGAGACCTGAAGCAAAGGCACGCAGCCTCTTTTCTTGCTGCTGTTGAGAAAGGTGTCTGCAAGAAGCTTAAGTTGAAAGACGTAGAACTAGAGACCGTGAATCGCAAGAACAGGGAACTGGTTGAGAGAATAAAGCAGGTGACCATGGAAGCCAAAAATTGGCACTATAGAGCAAAACAAAATGAGTCAGTTGTTAATGTCTTGAAGACCAACCTTGAGCAAGTAATCTCACAGTCACAGGGTGCTGAACAGCTGGGAAAGGAAGGTTTTGGAGACAGTGAAATCGACGATGCTGCCTCTTATATCGATCCCGTTTCTGGTGGTGCGAAATGTGTTTCCGGGAATCACCATGGCATGATTTGCAGAGCATGAAAGGCAAAGAAGGTGTCCATCTTGTCGATCCCATGCAGACTCCTTTGCTTTTGTAAAGAGTGTGATGTGCTATTTAGTGTGTGTCCTGTATGCCAGGCCATGGAAACTGCTGGTGTCCAAGTTTACCGGTCCTAAACAGGGAAGCAAATTACTTGAAAAAACGAAAAAAGAAAATTCTAGCCTCTGCCGTGATATGCTGCCAGTGCCAGCATTTTCTTACCCTAAACAGACCATGTATGAAAAGTGAAAGGATTTCTTGAAATGGAGTTTGTAAAGCATCCCTTGTTCTCTCTCTCTCTCTTGCTTGCTTTGTTTTATGATGATGTGCAAGATGCTATGTGTTGCTTGTCTTGAGGGTTTTTTTGTCTATTAAGTGTTACCTATAGCCATGTAAATGTGCTTTTAAGTTGGATTCTTTAAATGCTTGGAGCATATGTAAAGGAACAGTGCCAAAAGGGAAGATGAAGAGAAGACACGTTTTGAATGATAACAATTTATTAAGGTAAATTATCTGTTTGATATTTTACTTATTCACATGTTTACGTTTTTATCATCCAATTATTATTTTTAAAAATTGTATTTGACTATACTTTTTTCAACTGTATTTAAAAATTGAAAATTTAGGTAGTAAACTTGGAAGTATAAATGGACTAAAACGGAATAAAAATTTAAGTTTAGTGATAATTTTGAAAAAGGAGTTAGGTGACCAAAATAGAATTACAAAAATAATTGAGTGATTAAATATATAATTTATCTTTTTTTAACGGAGTTAACGGTTTGGGATGTGTTGATTTAAACTAACTTCAGAGGATAAAACGTCTCAAAGAATATTTTAGGGGATAACTCGGTACAATTTGCATAATTTAGGGTTAACAACGCATTTAAGCAATATATTATTTAACTAGTTGATTTAGTGTTATGAGTTATTAAATCTTTAAAGTAAGTTTGAGAATTCGAATCATGATATTATAAATAAATATTAGAAAGATCGTTGTAATAAGGAATCTCTATTATATTTGATCTAAACGTATTTTAGAAATTTTACTATAACAATTCAAATTATTTTACCAATATGTTATATTAAACTAATATTATGATTCTTTTTAGAGAATATTCAATATTAACGACCGGTTTTAAAGATAAATATAAAGATTAATTTATAGAATTCTTATTGATTTAGAAATGAAAAAAAATCGATGAAATATCTAATATACAAAAAGTATAGGGATTTAGATTTGTATTTAGACCTTTTTAAACTCTACTCTCTTTATTTCCAGTAAAGGATAAGAAAATTAGCCGCGAGTGGCGTCAGAGATGGCTAGCATGACGGTGTTGCATTCCGTTTCCGTAACGGGGCCGTGGAGGCCACTGCTAATAAACAGGAATTTCCGTTCTGTCAAAATGTTGAGGTGCTTCGGAACTTCGGCGGCAAAGAGACTGAGCTCTGTGGTTAGGGTTCGAGACTTTCACTTCTGGAAACGGACTCCGAAGCTGAATTACTCTAACAACGAAACGTCGTCGTCTTCATCCGAGGAGGATGACCTCGAGCAAGGCCCGCCCCAGGAAGCCGTTCTCAAAGCAATTTCAGGTTCCCTTTATATTTGGAATTAAACTTTAACTTGATTTGTTTACTATTATTTTTGGTGGATTTGTTTGTTTGGATATGGATTAGTATATTTATTAGACTATGAACGGAGTTTGATGCTTGCTTAAAGCCTTGCAGTTTATCACTTGCTTTTCCATATATTTTATTATCGGTATAATTGTTGGTTTTGGAATTCAGAGGTATCGAAGACAGAAGGAAGAGTTGGAGGAACCAGAAATGTGGTTATTGGTGGTACAGTAGCCGATGATTCGACTAATGAATGGCTTGCTTTGGATCAGAAGGTATATATTATCCACTCCTAACTTCAGATCCTGTCGAGGGTTTCGGACGATTGTTTTGTTGCTTGTATACTGAATTTGAAGAGATTAAGTTCGTACAATCAGGGAATTTTGTTATACAGCTGTATGTGGTACATGCAGCTTGTTAGCCTTATGATGATGAATGGTTTTATATTGTTTTGGCTGCTTAGTTTGGTTTTTGTTTAACTTGTCAGGTCAACTCATACCCTACCATTAGAGGATTTACCGCAATTGGAACCGGAGGTGATGATTTTGTGCAATCTATGGTTGTTGCTGTGGAATCTGTGATACAACAGCCAATTCCCGAGGTACATTCACGGCTAGATGAACTCTTACTGCTGAAAATAGGCAGCAGAATTTGATATGACATTTTAGTTTCTAAGCTCATGCACTTGGGTGTTTTCTGATGGAGAATAATTTGATTCTCAAGAATTCCCCTTTCATATTGCACATTTCTGGATCATATAGAGCAAACGATTGCCTACCGTATTAATTGGAAACCTCAGAATGTGCATTATATTATTAGCTAGTGTTATATATCGGTCAGATTTGACGAAAGGAAGAATTTGGAAAATTTATATAATATTGGAGTTAGTAGGAGTTCAGAAGAAGCCTCAAGTTCAGATGGAATCGGAATTATTGCAACCTTTGAAAGTGAGTAACTCCATAGTCATGTGGCATTTGGGTGCTAGAAAGTAACTTCCTGCATATGGTTGATACCGTGTAGAACTCTGTTGTGGTATTCTATTGATTTTGGGGATTGGAGCTGCAAACCTACTTCTTTGAAGGGTGAAAAGCATGCACCGACAATGGAGTCGGATGCTTAGGTGTATGTTGTGGGTCTTTTGATGACCTATTTGAAGAAAGGCTAATTTATTTACTGTTTTGGGCAACTTTTATCGGATGCACTTAATCTCTATCATAAAAAATTATTTGATTTAGGCAAAGATTGAAGGTATATGTTATTTTGGCATTTCTTGGTGGTAAGGTATCCGACTCACCTTGAATAAAACCTGGGGCTGAGCAAAGAAAATGAAGATAGGCTTAAGGTGATGAACTAATGGCTTTATAATGCTGCTTTGCTCTAAAAGGCTGCATGACAGGGAAATATGCTTTTGCATAACTATCGTCTCGTTAATATTCATGGAAGTATCAAGCTTTTCTTACACTAGCATTGAATCCCGTTTTGGAGGAGTTCAAAGGATGAAAAAGCTTAAGTATGGCTAATCACGATGAATTTGTTTGATTTCTTTTTCTTTTTGCTGAAAGATTTTTCTTCTGGGAATGAATTAAGATCAGTGTTGAAATATAAATTCTCTTTACGTTTTCTCTTCTGCTTCTTTTCATCATCTAACAAGCTGTTGTGACAGGGTCGGGTGAAGCGGAAATTATCATCTAGGGGGAAATACGTATCTGTTAACATCGGTCCCATCCAAGTCGTTTCTAGTGAACAGGTTTGTGTCTCTCTTTCACACAAACCCGTGCCCATGCATGCAAACACACTACTATATACAAGAATCATATGGTTCAATTTTCCTAAAAATAAAGGTAAAAATTGCTCGAATTATCGAGGGCGGTGCTTTTAAATCTGATAGAACTTGTTGTGTTGTACAGGTTCAAGCCGTATATAATGCCATGAAGCGAGACGATCGGATGAAATACTTTTTATGATGCGATATGATCTTCATTCTTGTTTTGATTTGAATGTGATCATGTAGAGACTTCCTGGTTTCTCTTGGTTGGGTTGGTTGATGTTATTTGGAGCAACCAAGAGGAAAGGAATGTCTCTTTGCTAAGCCATGTCGATCTGTTGGTTTATTGTATATGATAGTTTATTTATTAATCACCATTGAGGCCTTGACATAATGCAAACAAATTTCAGCTTAATTTATAATCGTTACGGTTTGTCTTTGATTTTTTTTTTCATTGCAATATAATTTAAGGGTACTCGACAGTGTTTTAGCCCCACCTGTGGAGTATTTATATTGTTACCGTATCAAATATTAATCTAAAAAAAGTATTAATGGTTAAATTTATTTATTTATATTCAAATTTTAAATTTTTATTTTTATTTAATCGATTGAAGTTGTTAATTTTATCAAAGTCAATCTTAATTACCGATAATTTAGATGTTTATGATAGCATTCACTTTTTAATATCAATATTTAACCATCAATTGACATTTAAATATGTTTTGAAGATTTATTAAATTATAAAAATATTTAAAAATTAATGTCACCATAAGGATAATTAAAACTCTAAAAAATTAATAATGTAAACCTAAATTTGCTGTTCCACAACTAATTTTGACGAAAATATTCTACAGTTCCCGGAGAAAAACGACATTAATTATGCCAACACTCTGCATCCATGCAAGAAAGAATGTATAGAATAATTAAACACCAACATAAGTTGGCTCAAAAACTATACGGTGCACTTAGCAAAAACGAGGACCGTCGGAGCTGGTGTTTTTATCGGCAGGGGGAATCTCGAAATGCCAGAGCCTCCCAACGCTTTTCACCAAGTACTTTTTGCACAAAAACTCGGTGGCGAAACGCTTTTCCACCTTCCGATCAACATCGTGCAAGAACACGTGGGTCACACCGAATCCTTTCCGGTTCCTCGCCATGACCGCCGCCGAGAATATCACTGCCATCCTACCAGGAGCCTCCGCGAAATACCCACGCGGTGCGTCGATCATTATCAAATCCCACTCCGTATCGTAAAACTCATCGGGAAAACCCGTCAACGCAAGCTTGCACTGGTCGTTGCCACGCAAAGAAGCGTTCGACGGCAAACAGCTCGGCTCCGTCCGGAAATGGTTGAGCAAATCGTCCGCTTCCTTCAGCTGCGTTCGGTAGTTCACGGTGTACGCGCGGATCTCCGGCGCGCCTTTGAGCACGTTGTCGACCCATTTCTGATCTTCTTCGAGGAACAACGTTTTCCCTTGGGGATTCAAAGCATTCCACATGCGCGAATCGTAGCCCAGCCCAAAGACTAGGAAATTGCACGGATTGCGATTTCTTAGTACGTTATATGTGACAGAGATCTCGCCGTAGTTTTGTTGCGGTGTTCTTTTCGAGGTGGCGTAGTGAACAAGGGCTCGGAGTTGAGTTTCCATGTCGGAGAATGCATTTATGGGTTGCGATCTTGACTTGGCGATAGAACATAGGAGGGAATCATCGCCGGCTTTTAAGAGGCTGGAGATAAGTATTACTCCAGCGATAAGGCCGGCGATTGCGATGAGGGAAAGGCTTCTTCCATCGGTGGGGAATTGCCGATCGTCTCTGCTCATCTTGTTTTTTTACACTAGTTTATTAATACGATTGTTTTATTCTATTATTAAATGGTAAAAACGAATATTAAAGAGAAAACTCGGTTATTTAATAAATAAATAAATAAATAAAAATTTCCAAAAATATTGGGTAAAGGCTGTGAATGAGCATAACTTCCGATGAATTCAGATGTTTTGTGTGGTTTTTAGATTTTATGATTTATTCTTTTAAATAAGATTTTATGATTTATTCTTTTAAAAAGAATATAAATTTATTTATATTTATAAATAATTAAGGATGAATGCATATACAGAGTAGAAGGGGCTCTTCACTCTTGTATCTCTTAAAAAAATTATGACAATATTTTAAGTTACTATCAGTTAAAAACTTAAGTAAAATTATATTTTTATTTTCTCGAACTTTTAGATTAAATACGTAATAAGTCCTTATTATTTTAAATTTAAATACCTTACCCTTTATAGTATTTGATCCTAGTTCCGTTCATGTAAATAATTGATTTAAAAATTTAAACAAACAATTAAAAGATTCCAATTGAATTGACCAAAAATTCGGTCTAAATCAATTACTATCTTTAATTATAGATTGAATACAAGTAGTCTATTTATTTTACTGTTGATTGGCTCTAATATATCAAAGAGACGAGCTATTTATTTACGCTAGGGTAAAGTTAAAATCCCTCGAGCATTGCTTACATTAACAACATCCTACCACATGAACCCCTAAACCACACTTAACCAAACCACAAATTGTAGCAAACTTTCAATGACAGACTCACACTACACATCAAACTAACACAACTAATGGCAGACACATACACACCATGTTTCGACAACAACCCCAGCTCCCCCATTACCACGTATCCCATTCCTCATCGATCACTTTTAACTCCTTCCTCATCGTGTCACGGATCTCCAACAACAACCGAACAACATCTTTGGTCATGGCCGGAGACGCACCTTGTATCGTACCTCCAAATTTGGTAGTAACGACCAATGTCATAATACCTTTAGACATATCCGGAAATTGTTTCTTCATACACCTTATCATTCTAAATGCTCTTTTTATATTTTATCTATTTTCAAAAAAAATTATTTTTTAAAAAAAACCCTAGATTTTGCTTCAAGTACTAGTTATGTTGGAGATGGTATCATTATACATAACCATCTACAGTGTAAGGAGATTGAGTGATGGGGTTTTGGACATATTTTGAGGTAGCATGGTATATGGGTAAATTAATTATTAATTTTTTTTGGACAACAATTTAACTTAAAATATAATATCTAGGGCATGGGCCTACATATTTGGATTTTTTGCTCTCATTGATTGAACAATAAAGATTGTCCTTATTCACTTATGTGAATAAATTGGGCGATTTGACCTAAATATCACCCAATAAAACTAATATGCCCTAAATAACACCGTTTGTCCAATATTTCCTTAACTAACACTGTTTCGTATGAGGTGGTAATAAGGCGCGCTCCCGGTAACGCGCTTTAGCGGGATTTGCTTATATGGATATAAGGCGCGTTTTCGGGGAAGCTCTTTCCAGCTAATGTGGCGCCACGGTGGAAAGAGCGTTTTCGTTGATATGGTTTAGAGTTATTATAAATTAATAATTTATTATGTAAAGTGTTTTGGTTATGATTTAAAAATTATCGAATGTATTTTTTAATTTTGTATTTAAGGTGGAGTGGATTTAGGTTAAAGTGTTATATGTTTCGTTAAGGTGAAAGTGGTGAAGAATTTTGTAGGTCAAAGGTTCATTAAGGTTGTGTAGGTTAAAGTGTTTTAGGGTAAGGTTCGATTAAATTGGAAATATTAATCACTTGAAGTAAGAGGTAAGTAGAAAATTTAGGTAGAAAATACACATACATTGAGAAATTATAGAAAATGTAATTACATTTAAATATTAGAAACAAAGACATTCATTGAAATAGAAAATGCAATTACATAAGGGTTAACGGTTAAGTGATGATAACAGAGCATGACATTTTTTTCTATAGTGCCCGATGTTTCTGCAATGCCCACATCTTTTTTGTTCTGTTAACCTCTCCCGAATATCCATATCACAATGTATTCGAGTGGATTTTGGACGACCTGAGTCCCTCAATAGCAACAGATCCGGTACAATTGTAAGCCAAGTTTGAATCTCATCTGGGTCTCTTTCATTACCTATGGACAGAAACTCAAATTCATATACCCGAATACTTGTGAAAGTTGGTATACGGGATCAACATAATTTTTGTAGTCCAAATGTGAATGTGAGCAAGCTGCTATGACATGAGAGCATGGATATTTGAGTGCTTGAAAGAAACCACAATCACACCACCTCTATTGCAGATTAATTCTGAAAAAGTTAGCTTCAATCCCTTGAAGAGGACGTGGCATTTTGGTTACACGAAATAATTCACGAGTGCGAGAAAAATTTGTAACCAACATCCCATTTGATGCAGTCACTTTTTTCTGTAAATCAGCTACTAGTCTTGGGTGATAAATATTGTTGTTCTGCATCCAAGTAAGAGCTTATCCACCGAGCTTTGCAAATAGTTGACCCAAACGAAAATAAGTCGTTTTGACCAACGCCGTGACTGGTAAATTAAATACCTTTTAATGGAAGGTATTTTCACATTTTCTATGACATCGTTGGTACCAATGTTCACATTTAACTCCTCGTTCTATCTCATGATTGGTTTTTCAAGAAACCCATTCAAATTGGACGAAATTAAACAAAAAAAAAATCTACCATTTTTTAGACGATTGGATACTTTCTTAGATTTACGAGATTTCGAGTGTTTGTTCGAAATTTTAAACAGTAAAAAGTATTATTTCGAGAATACGAACAACATACCTAAAAATTAGTCACATCGAATGGTCATTAAAAGAGATCGAAGTATTAATACGTCAAAATTTTAAACGAATTTTGTTGAATTATGTTTCGATATAAAAAATTTAAAGGCAAAAAGTTTTTGGACTTGAATTGAATTTATTCAAGGTTTTAAAAAGGTTTCAAAAATAATTCAAAGTCCATTAAATTCAGATTTGAGCAAAAATACTAAAGAGTGTCAAAGTGCATCCATGCACCCCTGCATTGCATCCATGCACCCCTGCAGTGCATCCATGCACCTGCACTAGTGCATCGATGTAACATGCAGTGCATCCATGCACTCCATTTTGAATGCACTTAGTGCATCGATGCATCCTGATGTGCATTGATGCATCCTGCTGTGCATCAATGCATCCTGTTGTGTATCCATGCACGAAGGCTGCAACGACTAGTTTATTTGAATTTAATGAAGGGGTATCGATGCACCATGATAGTGCACCGATGCACCATGTTATGGGTAGCCTTTTTGAGTAGAAAAATCATCCCCAAACGTCTCCAAAACATCCCCAACGGTTATATACAACATCCAACACATTCCAAGCTATAAATACAAGCTAAAGACACTTGAAGAAGTATGAGAACAACTATCCAAGCAATCAAACACAAGAGAAGAGTTTTCATTCTTATTTCATCTTTCTCTTGTAAATATTTTGTTCTTGTGAGCTCAATCTTGTAAACACCTACCTTAGAGAGGTTTCCTTGTTTACTTATTTTATACTTTTTTAAAGGGGAAAGGTTCTAGCTTATCCCGTGTAAAAGCTAGGGAAAGATTCTAGTTTAACCCGGAAAAACTAGGGAGTTGTAAGGTTATCTCTTTGTCTTCAAAAGAAAGAACAAATTAGTGAATTTGTTAGAAAATCCTTGGTGAGGAGCTAAGGTAGTGGACGTAGACTTTGGTTGAGAAAGGCAAACCACTATAAATCACTGTGCAATTCTCTATCTTTCAATCTCCTTACTCCCTAAATACAAAACCGTTCCGACCCCTCTTTGCAAACCGTTCTGATTGTCGATTTGAGATTTCGAAAATCCCAACAATTAGAATCAGAGCCTAACTCGTTAGAAGGTTTAACCACCTTGAGACGATCCTAGAAGAAGCTTTACCAATTCCCGAAATAACCGAGAAGATGGTTTCCACCTCCGGCTCGTTCCACATGGAAGACTCCCTACCAAACGACAAGCCTCCATACTTCAATGGAGCCAACTATCATCATTTGAAGAAATTAATGAAGGTATTCATCTAATCCAATGATCTTGATGCATGAGAGATAATCGAGAACGGATACTTTTCTCCAAAGAAGAAGGAGAAGTGGAGTGACAAAGAACGGAAGAAAGCTCAACTTAATGCCAAGGTAATGCACATGATATTGTGTGCATTTGGTCCTGAAATCTATGAAGGAGTTTCTTCGTGTTCAAGTGCCAAGAAGCTTTGGAATAAGCTTGAGGAAATCCATGAAAACAAGAAAGAAGAACCAACAAAGGTGGTATCTCTAATGGCTCGTGAAGAGCCCGAGGTATTTTCTAACTCAAATGAATTTAATTCATATACGTTTGATGAGTTACAATATGCTTTTAATAGGTTATATTCAGAGTTTGAGACCATGAACTCCAAATATAAGAAAATGATTTCAAAATTTAAAATCGAAAAATGATTTTCTTTTGAAAACAAAAATAGATTTTGAAAGCCAAAATGAAAATTTGAAAAAGGATTTAGAGCTTTCAAAAATAAAAATTGAAAGTTTTGAAAAAGAAAATTTTGATTTAAAAGTTAAGCTTGAATGCTTAACAAAAGAAAAAGAAATCATTTTAAATAATTCATTTAGTTCAATAATGACAATATGCTCACATTGTCATTATCATGGTCATAAGAAACATACTTGTCCTTTGAAGAAAGGAAAACATTTTAAAATTAGACAAGTATGGGTTCCTAAGGGAACAATGGGCATTGAAACTAACGTTCAAGGATCCAAAGAAATTTGTAATCGAAATAAATGTCTCTTGTAGATGTGTTAGAGCAATGGTGATGAAAATGATGATATTCAAGATGCTCTAGCCACACTTGAAAAAGGAATGGTAACCTCTAAGCTTAATGCTTTTAATTTTGGTTATTTGGTTGCTCATTTGATTTTAAGAATGCATGA